GTTCTAAACCCTAATCAGATCCAAACTGAATCAGATCTGAACTGAATCAGATTTGAACTGAATCAGATCCAAAATGAATCAGATTTGAAATGAATCAGATCCAAATTGAATCAGATTTGAAATGAATCAGATCCAAACTGAATCTAAAGTGAATCAGATCCAAATTGAATCAGATTTGAACTGAATCAGATTTGAACTGAATCAGATCCAAACTGAATAAGATTTGAACTGAATCAGATTTGAACTGAATCAGATCCAAACTGAATCAGATTTGAACTGAATCGGATTTGAACTGAATCAGATCCAAACTGAATAAGATTTGAACTGAATCAGATCCAAACTGAATAAGATTTGATCTGAATCAGATCCAAACCAAATAAGAGTTGAACTGAATCAGATCTAATCTGAATCAGATCCAAACTGAATCAGATTTGAACTGAATCAGATCCAAACTGAATCAGATCTAAACTGAATCAGATCCAAATGAATCTAAAGTGAATCTGATCCAAACTGAATCAGATTTGAACTGAATCAGATCCAAACTGAATAAGATTTGATCTGAATCAGATCCAAACCAAATATGAGTTGAACTGAATCAGATCTAAACTGAATCAGATCCAAACTGAATCTAAAGTGAATCAGATCCAAAATGAATCAGATTTGTACTGAATCAGATCCAAACTGGATCAGACCTAAACTGAATCTAAACTGAATCAGATCCAAACTGAATCAGATTTGAACTGAATCAGATCCAAACTGAATCTAAACTAAATTAGATCCAAACTGAATCTAAACTGAATCAGATCCAAACTGAATTAGATCCAAACTGAATCAGATCCAAACTGAATCAGATCCAAACTGAATCAGATCCAAACTGAATCCAAACTGAATCAGATCCAAACTGAATCTAAACTGAATCAGATCCAAACTGAATCGGAACCAGCCTGATTCAGATCCAACATCCATGTAGAAAACAAAGATCATCTCATTTCTCATATGGTTAAAGAAACAAATCAAATTTCCAAAAAGATCAAACRTATCAAAAAGTCCAACAAGAAAGTTCAGAAATTCTGATCAGAACCAAAGTTTTCATTTCCAAAAATCTGTTCAGAAATGAAAACCTTTCAGTTTGAAGCTTGTTCTCTTCAGTTTCTGTGTCCCACAAGACCCCCATGAGTCAGAACCAGGACCCAGGTCCAGGTCTGAGCCCTGATACTAGTCCTGGAAGTCTGGACCTAAAAACTCGTCAAAAGTTTGATTTAAAAAATCAAACTAATTTTTTTTTCTTGGATTTGAGTCAAACAAGTACAGACTGGTTCATTTACACGTCTGTGTGTCCATGTGTGTGTGTGTCCATGTGTGTGTGTGTCCATGTATGTGTGTGTCCATGTGTGTGTGTGTGTGTGTGCATTTTGAAGTTGTAAATCACAGCAGTGTGTTCAGATCTGAAGTCAGATTTAAATGTGAAGTTAATGAAAAAATACTCACATCTCAGAGTGACGGAGTGTCTGCTGCTCTGAAGCCTAATCTGGACTAATCACACACACACACACACACACACACACACACACACACTTCTAATTACTGTCTCCACAGACGGACATTAATCCTCACAGGACACAGTGGCTGAGGTCAGGGGGTGTGGTCAGACACATCAAGCCACGCCCCCTGATGTCGAGGTGAGAGCTGATCCYGATCAGTCAGTAATCTGGGAGTTAACGAGTTTAAAGGGCGGCGGCCTCAGATCATCTTCATCAGAGCTGTGGTGAGGATGAGGAGCAGCAGCGCCCCCATCAGGAGGAATTTAAACAAACGCAGCCTGGGGGAGGGGCTTGTCAGCGAGCACCTGGTCTGGACCAGTTGGACTCAGGTCCTCCTAGAAGAGCTGGAAGAGGTTCTGGACCCGTCAGCACTCGGAGCTCATGTTGGGATGACTCTCAGCGACCACCACACCAAACCTTAACTCAGCAGCTGAGCGGCCATCTTGGATCAGGCTGACTCCARAAGTCCTTCAGCTCAGTAAAACCCACCTGCTGATTCATTAATYATTTTCTAATTGTCCTGAAGGTGGCGCCAGAAACAAACTGTTTACAAAGTGGACATAAGGACTGAAACTACACCATCTATTAATCATTCTGTGGGTTTTTTTTTGTTTGTTTTTCAGAAAAATTCATCTTTCAGGTCAAAACAGAAGAACTTTGTTTCATCAGATTAAATCAAACATTAAAGTGTCTTTGACATCAAATTTTAGAGAAAAACATGTATGCAGTTTTGGAGAGAGAACATTAATAACATGTTGCAAAAAGAAATTCATGTCGCTGAGATGAATGGTTGTTGAGATATTTGCATGTGAAGAAACAGGAAGTGATGTCAAAGGGGAATGTCTGCATGTGAACAGAGTGTTGTTATGAAAGCTAACAACACAGACTGTAGAGAAAAATCTGATGTTTCATTATTTTGAGTCTATCAGAGAGATGAAGAAGAGCTAAAGTTTAAATGATATTGTTTTAAAAAACAAAGACCAAAGATTTTATTTTATTAATGAGTTCCCCTTTGATGTCACTTCCTGTTTCACTTTGGCTGAGTCAAGATCAAAAGAAAATAGGCCGGTTATGTGACAAAATGGGTAAAATCATGTGTATTAGAGCAATTTTCTTAAGTATAAAGATGTTTTATTTGACTTTTGTGTTTGAAGTAAATGCATGTAGGCACTTGAAAATAAAAACCTTTAAGTTAAAAACATTAAAAACCAAAAAACTTGACACTTTTTGTTCCAGTTTTATTTTAAATCTTTCCTTCTTCATGAACAACAAAATGTTTCATTTATGTCAAATAAATAAAGATGAATCCAAAGTTTAAAACTGTTTTACTTTGTTTAAATGACTCAAACCTTCAGTAACATCAAAGCTCAGAAACACGTTTAAGAATTAATTTCATTATTGCACATTTTACAAAAAGTAAAAATACAAGCAGCAGCAGTAACAGGAAGTTGGTTTTTAACAGACGTCGTTAAGAGTTTTGCTGAAAATGAAAGAAAAAGATGTCATTAAAAATGAATGTTTTAAATAAAGTTAATTTGAATAAAGTCATTATTTCTCACCAGCAGCGCTCGACCTCTGGTTTCTATTGGCAACAGGAAGTTCCCTAAAGCACACACGACACACGCCACGGCGAACGGCGTGAGCGCCAAGATCACCGACTGAGACATCAGCACCTGAAGTACACACAGAGACAAGAGGGGTGCTGCAGAACCAGGAGAACTACCATTACCAAGAGGTCAGTGAATGCACCTCAGATACAGGTCAGTGAATGCACCTCAGATATAGAGTTGGGTACAGAAACTGGGTTCCAGTATGGCACCGGGGCGAACATCAACAGTAGTACACAGACTGAAACACAACTCTAA